GTGATGGCTCTATCAAGAAAGCACAAGCATGTATCGCCATCAACAACAAGCCTTCCATCTTTGACACTCCATCGACATGCCTCATGGTAAAGCCTACCAAGGTAAAATATGATGTGAGTGATGATGATTGTGAAAGTGATGATTGTAGGAATGATGAGGAGGAGGAGTACACCAAGGAGGAGCTCATGGACATGTGTGAGCAAGTGCACACTTGCTTTGAGATAAAGAGAAAGGAGTGCAAAGAATTGCGCAAGAAGATCAAATCCTTTTCGTGTCCCAAGCCGTCGCCGCCTTCCTTGCTGGATCTACTTCCTCCTTCCCAAGCCACCGGCTTCTTTCATGGCTGCTTCCTCTCCGTCCTCAAGGCAAGGTGAAATCTTGAAATTTTGCCTACACATGGCCCAATTCGGTGGTCTATGTGCTCATAGCGATGTGATGTGCACATGGCCCGATTCGGTGGTCTATGTGGTCATAGGTTGTGATGCTCAGATTTATGGATGCCTCGAGGCATATCTATGAGTTCTTGGTCCCAATCGATGATATTTCCATATTCTTCTTTGATTGAGACAATACATATGTGCTAGGGTTTACTGTACCACATGGTTTAAGATTGGGATCCAATTTTGCACTGTTTGTTGCGGTGGAACCTCTAGGTGGCTGTGCTATGCACATAGCCGGCGAGGCCATGAAACCTTGTCCACCAGTTAATTTTTATGTTTGTAATGATGTCCATTTAGAGGCCAGTAAGGCATGCCTAAACCTAAAATAAAACTTTCATTCATGCATGTAGATGGATTTGTAGCAACAAGGATCTGCCATGGCTTCACAGGCAGCTGCCATGGTAGTTGTCATGGTTGCCCTTATTTCTTCTAGACTGAAAAGGCATAGAGTGGAAGATGAGCCAATTTGTTATGGACCTAGGTTAGAACCAGATGAGCACAAGGAGAAAAACCTTTCTCACATTTACAACTCAACTGATGCTGAGTATTTAGCCATCCTTAGGATGAATAGAGCACCTTTTTTGCACTCTGCAACTTGTTTAGGCAGAGGGGCTTAGTTGTGGACACCATTAATTCCTCTGTGTAGGAACAAGTGGCCATGTTTCTTCACGTGGTTGGGCACAATCAAAGGTTTAGAGTTGTTCATTAGAGCTTTAGGAGATCCATAGAGATAGTTAGCAGACATTTTCACTAGGTTCTTTTTGCTATTGGGTTGCTAATAAGGGGTGACCTGATCAAACCCCCAACTGGTTCAACTCATCCTAAAATCTTGGGAAGTCACAGGTGGAATCCTTTTTTCAAGGTAACTGTTTACTGTCTTGGTTCCATTATGTTGGGTTTAGGGTCTTGTTATTATTAGAGTACTTATGTTTAAAATCATTACTCCTAGGACTGTATAGGTGCAATTGAAGGTACCCATGTGTTGGCGAGGGTGCCCAGCACATGTAGGGGCCCTTCAGGGGTAGGAAACACAACACTACACAGAATGTCATGGCAGCAGTTGACTTTGATCTCAAGTTCACATATGTTCTGACTGGGTGGGAGGGTTTTGCTCATGATGTATTGGTTCTAGCTGATGCTATAGAGAGAGAGATGGGGGGCTTAGTGTTCCTAAAGGTAACTTCACTACCCATCGCTGCCAACTTACTCTTAAACCTTTATGTTCAGACTTGTAAGCCAATACAACACTGCCTTGTTGGGAAATTCTATCTAGTGGATGCCGGTTATACTTGTAGAACTAGCTTCCTGCCACCATACAGACCATGTGTCGGTGCGGAAAGTGACCAATAAGTAAATATTTATAGTTTTGTCATACGTTATGATCGAATATGGCCTAGCACTCAATGACAAAAGATTTATACTGGTTTAGGCAATGTGCCCTATGTCCAGTTTTAGTCGGTCGATTATTTTATTCCTGAGCCTTGGTGCTCGAAGTTTGCTATGAGGTTACAAACAAATAGAATTGAGAAGGGGGTGTTAGAGGCCCGATCGGATTCTTAATCGAGTGGCTGAGAGGGACAGGGGATCTAACGTATGCTAAGTATTAGATCGTATGTTCTGTGTGTCTCTAAAGCTTGTTGAGCTGTTGTTTTCTCGAGTCATCGAGAGAGTCTTCGAGAGAGAGAGCCATTCTCCTTTTTAGGAGAGAGTGCATCCCCTTTTATAGTTGAAAGGGATGGCCTTGAAAAGTCTAAGAGAAATAGAGAAAATGTATACGTGTGCTGCCTAGTCTTGTTGCTTATGCCATTGGGTATGGGATGGTTGTCAGCGCCCATAATATTGTTAATGTCCAGACGCGTCTAACAGGCTCTACCGTGTTCGCCTGGTATGGTAAACATCGACGCCCACAATACTGTTTGTGGTCTGATGCGTCTGGAAGGTTGTATAGTGTTTGTCTGTCATGACCTAGAGGCACCGTCTTGCAGGTGCGCAGGGTATGGAAGGGTATGGTCCTTGGTATTGCGGTTGACTTGAGCGCCTTACCTTATCTGCTCCGCTTGCTCCCTAGGCCCACACCGAGCGGGCGTCCCCGGTCGGTCGTTCCCAGTTGTCCCCGACCATGTCGGTCGGGAAAGAGCAGCGAGTAGAGGTCCGGTGTATCCTTGGTCAGAGAAAGGGTCGGGCGAGGCGGAGCCTACGACCCAGAGGTCTGGGGAGTGTGGGGCCTGCCCCCAGAGGTCGGAGGTGTCGGTTGGGGACTGGATCATGGTCTTGGCCTGTTATTGTGTATCTAGGCCGGCCCTGACGTGTGCTGTCGTTGCGCTGCATGATGCTGCTAGGCCGAGTTTTATAGGGAAGCGGGTCTATTGGGGACACCGGGTTTGTGAACCTGATAGGAGCCCCGAACCTATTTGGGACTTCTGTGAAGTCATGAAGGGGCTGCTATTGGTACTTCGGTGTTTTCCCCCTTGGTTTGTTGTACCGCGTAGGGTAACCGAGTAGAATTTAGGCACACAGCCTCCATGTGGAGGACTAGCAAAGGCCATGGAGGTGCGCAAAGTGGATATGGGTGCCCAGCCTCCGTGGGGAGAACTGGCGAAGGCCACGGAGGCGTGTCGAGGGATATTGGCACCCAGCCCCTGAGGAAGGGACTGGTGAAGGCCGCGGAGGCGCGCCGTGTCAGACATAGGCGCTCAGCCCCTGAGGAGGAGACTCGCTGGTAATCCATTTTCCACCGGGTGCGCGCGAGCGCATCTGGTGGGTGTAGCCCCCGAGCCTGTGGCCGACTGGGGAGTCGATCGGAGGCTGAGCACCTTGGTACTCTTTTTTGGGGCTGCGGACTCTTGTGTCTCTTCCGATTGAGGTGTTCGCCCATGTCCGTTCGGACCGCAACCTATGCGGTCGGCTAGACTCCCGAGTCGAGGTCGGGTGGCCCAAGCCCCTGAGCCCCGTTAGGCTCATTAGGGGTCGGTCGAGTTTCGTGCATCACCCCGTCCACGATTTGTACAATCAGAGGGGTTGAACTAACATCGCTTGCCTCGATGGCTGGAGTGACGCGCTCAGTGAGCTCATTAACGGATATGTCCAAGTGAAATCTGGGTCCGCCATTCATAACGGGGTCGGCATAGCCCTCATGTGGCATTCTACTACTCCTTAACCTGCCTCCCGGTAGATGCCTGAGCCGTTCCGGAGATCGACTCAGGTGGCTCGCTAGCCTCCCCTCGATAAAGATTCTGTGGGCATGGCTCGAGGTCAGGATCGAACGAGAAGGTCGAGATGACCCTGTCCGCTTCTGCGCGGATTTGGCAAAGGCCGCTGGGGCTCATCTGCGTTTTCTCCCGGCTCTGTTTGATGCGAGGCGGCCTCGAGCCCTTCGCGGGCCGGCCTTCGAACCCCGGTCGGTTGTCGCTCATATCGAATGAGACGACTACCGCTTTATGACGTGACGCAAAGCGTTGTGATGCAACAATTGCATATACAATGCTTGGGTGTATGTGATGAATGTATGGATACATGCATGAGAATGGATAAATGTATGAATGCATGCACGAGAATGGATGAATGAATGATCATGCACTGGAAAAGTAGAACGGGGGTTAGTAAAGTTACCTCGATGGCCCAAGTGATGGGTTCGGGGAGCTCCTATCGTACACGGCAAGGAAAAAATTTGGGTGTAGCCAATATGCACTTGTGCGTCTGTATATACAGGCTTCGATTGCTGCCACCTGGACATAAAAAAATTAGACTAACGAACCGCCGGGATCGCTACAGTCCAGAATTACGAGCTGTTTGTGCGTTCGCGTGGGGGTGTGGGAGCCAGCAAGGAGAGTTCGTTAGTTCGTGGGATTTCTAGTACGTCCACGCGGCACAAATCTACAACCTGTATGCACGAAGACTTGAGTGCACACCGGCTCCGCACAATTTTTTTCCACACATTTTGGCCCTGTTCGCTTTTTCTTGTAATCCATCTTTTTTAGTTTATTTTTTTAGCCGGAACAATGTTTTTCTCTCACAACAAATCAGCTGGAACAACGTTTCGGTTTATTTTTTCAGCGAAGCGAACGAAATTTTTTTTCCCACAGCAAAGGCATGTGGACTGCATCCTATCGATTGCTCAGTTTTTTTTTAAATCGATTGCTCAAGTGCCCAACCCAAGGGTGAGTGTTTGCATGCGAAATATAGGAAACGGCATTGGCAGCCTGCCAGCCTGGACTGCCGTCCGCGGATCGGCAGTTGCCAAAAATTTGGGAGGGGAAGCAAAAGGAAACCCCGCCCGCCCGGCGCCCGCAACGCCCGCCCGCCCGCTCGCCGCGCCGCTCCCGCTCGGAGGTTGCCCAAAAATTCGCGAGGGAAGCCGAAAAGACGCCGCGGGGGAAGCCCAAAATTTTTCACTGCCGCCTTCTCGCCTTCCTTTAAAACCGCTACACCTGAGGCACCAATTTCCGCCGCCGCGGCATTGCGCCTGATTTTCTTCTACTACCCCGCCGCGCCGTGGCATTGCGCCCAAATCCCGATTCGATTTTTCTACTACCCCGCCGCGCCGCGCCACTGCGTCTCGCCATGGTGCCCTCCATCGTCGTCCGCCGCAAGCGCTCCCGGTCGCCGCCACACGGTTTCGACTCCGGGAGACGCACGCGCCCGCGACCCACGCCGTCCTCTCCCGACGTCGGCCGCAAGCGCTCCCGGTCGCCGCCACGCTGTTCCCACCGCGAGGGTCCCAAGCGCCCGCACCCCGTGCCGTCCTCCGCCGATGTCGGCCGCAAGCGCTCCGGGTCTCCGTCGTGCGGTTTCGACTCTGCGCCGTGCAAGCGCGCGCGCCAGGCGATGGAGGTGGAGCCGACGGGAGAGGGCGAAGCCGCGGCGGCGGTAGCAGCACTGCCCGACGACATGCTCTTGGAGGTCTTCAAGCGGCTGCCGCCCCCGCGCGACGTCATCCGCTGCGCCGCGGTGTGCCGCCGCTGGCGTCGCGTCGTCTCCGGCGCCGGAGCGGCATGTCTCCCCAAGCCGCCTACCCATCTCGGCTTCTTCCGCAACTACGGCCCGTCGCCGCTGCCCCCGTTCGTGCCCACCGCAGGCCTCTCCCTCGACATCGGTTTCCTCCCGGTGCCGCCCGCGTGCGGCGCGGTCCTCGTCGACGCCCGCAACCGGCGGCTGCTCCTGCGGGAGCTCGGCCCTGGCTACCCCCGCGAACTCAGGCTCCTCGTCTGCAGCCCGCTGGAGAAGATGTACGTTCGGGTGCCGCCCCTCTTCATTGCTGGGCACAGGGTGGCGTGCTGCGTGCTCGTCCCGGGGGAAGGCGTCGCATTCCGCGTCGTGGTCGTCCTCTTCGGCACCGACCCGAATCACTTCGAGCTTCTGGTCTACTCGTCGGTGTCCTCCGCTTGGGAGTCTGCCACCGGACCGGTTCACCGGAACCTGGTCCCCCGTCAAGGCCCATCAGTCGTCGTCGGCGATGTCATGTACAAACTGCAGGGCGAAGAGAAGTACATTATGGTTGTCGACGCGGTCCAGATGACGCTGTCGGCGGTGCCCCTTCCTGATGCCAGAACGCTCCTCTACTCCGGGAACCACTGGATTGGCAAGACACCGGACGGCCGGCTTTGTTTCTTCGTGATCAGGGAGCAGCTCAGTCTCGTCACCTGGGTTCTCCAGGCACCTGGGAAGTGGGTGGAGCAGCAACCCGTGGACCTGCGCACGCTGATGCACCGGGCGTTTGTTGGTGACCTCGCCCACATGAAGCTCTCGGCGAAGATGTCGGACCAGCTCCGTGGCTTCAAACTTGTGAGCTTCGCTGCGTTCTGTGAGGGTACAGGCACGCTGTTCTTTGTCATGGCAGATTGGGTTGTGATGCTCGACCTCAGGACGAGGAGATTGCTGCGCCTGTGTCGTAACACTGACGACTCGCGGCCATTGGGTGATGTGTACCCGTGTGAGATGCTGCAGTGGCCACCGGTGCTCAAGAACTTTGGCGGGTCTGATGAGGCAGGAGGTGTTTGAAATACGGGTTAGTGCGTTGTGTTTATCGTGATTTGACTAGAAAAGTGGTGCCATTGGTGCGACATATGGTCTCCCTCATGTGGCCGTGTGTTGTGATGAATCCATGTCTGTGAACTGAATTCGATTGAGAATAAACATAAATTATTTTAATGAATTCCGTGTTCATGTATTTGCAATCTTAGTTTTCTTGTTCTGCTGCCTGCGTAACAGTTTTTTTTTGGCATTTGTTTACACTACTTTTACAGGCCCTCTCTAATTTTGTTGTGCAAATTTAGGAAGTTCCAGTATCTCAACTTTCAATCAAGTCTCCTGGAGTTTGAAATTTAACTGTTACATGCTTGCTAGTGCTAATTTTCTATATTGGTCAAGGGCAACTCCAATGTATATGACTAACTCTGGTCCTATATAATGTGATTTAACTTTTTGAAATGGTCCTAATGTATAGAACGGAGTAGCTAAAAAATGGTCCTAATGTAAGGAGATGAAAAAGGAACTGTTTTATATTATATTATAGGATTGGATTCTATGCAAAGGAGCATATTCTCTATGTTTTTGAATCTGCAATGGAAAAGGGCCTAGTTCCATGAGTATAGAAGAGGCCTTAGAGCATCCGCAATGCGAGGTTTGTAGCCGCTCCCATACAATAAAAGGGTTTTTTTTTATTGGCGCCATTACAATTATTGAAGATCTAAAAAAAAGGTATGAATAGGGAATGAGCGAGTCGCTTGTTTGATTAGCATCGCGAGCCGCGAGCTCGACCACCCGGGTTCAAATCCGGTGCCTAGTGTATTTCCGCTCAAAATGAGTGGGAATGGGGAAGAAGCTCCCCGGTTCAAAAAAAAGGTATGAATATCACACTAACCAGCCAAGCCTAGAAGCCAGCATATCAACAATGTGGAGGGAAACCCAAGACGAGCTAGCCCCTAAGAGCGTCCACAGTGTGTTGAATTGGACTTGGGTCTTAGCTGGGTCCCACAAGCGATTAGACGTCATCTGTTAATACTAGCACAATGTATGGAACCGGGGATGACTCCATACGTGAGCCCCATGTCAATAGAAAAATCAACCGATCCCCATCCTTTCCTCCCGCAATGCCGGCCAGGCCCGATGCTAGGCACCGCCACCCCCTCCACCTACTAGCTATGGCGTCTCGTCCTCTTCTCCTTGTGTAGCAGTCTATGGCGCTCCTCCCTCCTGGCGCGGCTGCGCCTCCACCTCCCTCCTCTAGCTTCTTCCTCACCAAATCTAACGGAGCTTCATGGATGTGTCCCAGAGTTGCCGCTGTCGCCCCGTTGTCCGCATCTCGGAGCCCGCCGCCGCCTCGAGGTCCTTCAACTCTGGTGCCGGCCATGGGCCTATGCCCAAATCTAAGGGTCGGGAGGCGCAACGATGGGGCCATGGGGGCCATGGCGACCGGGACAGAGAGAGGGGTTCTGGCCAAGGACGGGGCCGACTTCTAGGACGGAGGCGCCGACATCGGTGGACGACAATACCGACGACGATGATTTCCTCTCTTCGGCGGGAGCAGCAACGGCAGGGAAGAGAAGAAGGGTAAGAAAGGTAGCGTGATTTCTTTATTTCTTCTAGCTGGGTTCCATTCAACGAAACGAGTCCTTCGTAGAATCGGCCTCGCAGTGTATGGGAGCGGGTTCGATCTTCCCATTTATTATAGTTTTTTTGGATTGGTGCCATTACAATTATTGAAGATCTGAAATATACCATTACTATTCGTCTATTCGGAAGCGTGCCATTACAATTTTGACATACTCTGAAATATGTCATTCTATACGCGAGACAAATGTTTGGGCCCGCTTGTAGGCTTACGTGGCATACGGTCGACCGTATCCGTCCGTCTCCCGTCTTCATCTAAATAGCGCGGTGAATATCGCCGTCTTCCCCTCTCTGTCACTCTCGCTCTCTCTGTCTCTCCCCAAACCAAGAACCCTAACGAGGTGTTGGTGGCGGCGACTCCGGCGGCGGTGGAGGCGACGAACCCGACGGCGGCGCAGCAGGCCAAGGAGACGGCGCAAGGGGGTCAGTCGAAGGGAGGCGATGGAGTAGCGTGCGGGTCAATGGAGGGCGCGGGCCCGCGCGTGTCGCTATGGATGGAGGACGGCAACGAAAGGTACTTTTCTCTCCTTGCTGCGCACACAACCGAGTAGATTAGGCCTTGATTTATGCATTGGTGTTAGTGAAGTGTAGATTTTGATGTGATTTGGTTGATGCTAGGGTTCCACTGTATTCGCTAGAGATTAAAGTGGAAGCATTCTGTACGACAGACTCTTTGGGTAGGAAAGCTTACACAAAAGGCTTTGTGATTAAGTGGGATGTGGAGATATGCTCGTTTTCCTTTGATTTACTTTTGACCAGCTTGAGGAATGCTGTCAAATGGTCTCCTACTCAGTGTCATGCTGTTTGGTTCTTTGATAAAAGGGTGTGTGAAGATGTCAGACTAGAAAACCAGTTCCAGATGAATGACATGTTTGAGATGTATAAGGAGCAGATGAGTTGCCAGACTGTTGTAGGAGTGTTTGACAAATCTATGTGCCATGTTGATGAATTTGCTGCACTAGAGCCTTTATGTGTGATTCCTCCTAACATTTGCACTGGCAACCCAAACCCTGCTGATAGTAATGTTAACCAGCCTACATTTAAGGTAGATGATGCACCAGAGGTTTCCATGGAGGCTGAAGTTGAGCCCAAACTTAAGCCTGACAGGGAGACATATATGTTTGATAATCCTGAAGAGTATGTGGGCTATGACGATGAGGGGATGTACATGCCAATACCACCTACACAGCCACCTAGCAGTTCACAACCTCATAGTAATTCACCTCCACCTTATTCTCATGATGCTGAAAATGATAATGTTGATCCTTTTCATGTTGAGGCAGAGGTCACTGATGCAGACCCTGAAGAGATACGTGTCATCCATGACCCAAAAACTCCTAAGATTGTGAAGGGGGAGTTATGTAACACCTCTGGTGTTACGAACTTGCTTAACACCAATATTTAGACCTAAGAGGATTTACCGAAACAATTTTCTCGAATGTTAAAATTTAACTTATGTTTAAAAGTGTCATCTTGGCAAATTACATTGAACAACGGGTTAATTAGTTCCTAAATGTTTTGTTTCTACAAGTCAGTATGACATATGGACGAGTGTATGAAATGCGTAGCAGTTAGAATTAATTAGGTTTAGGCATATTAAAAATTACGGCAAAAGCGCTAAAGGTTGTTAGTTCTAGCCAAGCTATTATTCTCTAAGTCTGAAATGATGATAGTAGTCAATGCCGATTTGACATTCGAATTCTAACAAAAATTTGCTTAAGTTCATTAGAATGCGCTGCGAGCTTTGTGTCGACGCTCTGTCGTGAATCGGAACTTCAAGGACGAACTCATTTTGGCACGCATGTATCTTCCTCTCGGGCGGTCCTTTTGTTGTGCGGGTTGCCCTATTAGATACCTGATAAGATCAACCTTAGGGTCGTGGAATTTGTTGAACCTCAATCGTGATCATTAGCAGTTTTCGTGTTGCTTTAAATTTCATGCTCGTTATCATTCGTTGGTGGCCTGGTCATAGCGGGGATGGGACGTCTCCCTGTCCTGCTCGGCCGTTAACCGAAGCCGGTGACCCCGCTCGGACCCGCTGATACGATTCAATGTTTCGCGCCTAGTCTTTTTTTGTTCGTCAACCAGGCCACGTGCTCGTGGTCGCTGCTAGCTTCATCGCATCATCTCTGCTACACCTTGAATACCACTGCTGTCCTGCGCCCGACGCCATGTGCGAGCATCCTTGCTACTGCTGCGCTGTCACTGTCTTTTGCCTTTAAGAAAGATGGCCGAGCTACTGCTGCCGTGTATTGCTCTTCCTTGCCTCCGTCCATTTCCTCTCTATCTCTATCGTGCACCTGCAGCCCTAGCTCCTGCTTTCCTCCCACGCCGCCGTTCTCCTCCTGCTCACCAAAGCCCACGCGCGGCTTCGCCTCGACTCTCCACCACCGTGTGCGTGAGCGCGCCTAGGCCCGCGTTGCCCTACACCGCTCCACCACCGTGTGGTACCTCGTGGCGCCACCGACATCTCCACGCCACCCTCCGCTGTGCCATGGCCGCCCATGCATGTGGCCAGAGCCGCTGAGTTGCGCCGCCATGGTGTGCGCGCGTGTCCATTGTGTGGTGCCCCTCCTCGGTCCACGTCGTGGCCAGGCCTGGGTCCGGCCATGGTCCGCACGCGCCTCCACGCATGCCCTACCCATGTCGAGACTCGTCGCCAACACCGAGCTAGCTCTGGACGCTGCCCACCGGCCGGCGGAACACTTCCCCCACAGCGTACTTTGTTTTGAGGTAGAAAAGGACTTGAACGCAAATAGAATATTTTACCGTGTTCACTTTGCAAAAATGCTAGACTCATAGGTTTACAAATAGGGGCTTAGTTATTTTCAGGGAAACTCCGGTGCCTCATCGCTAAAGTGCTTGAATTCTTTGCTGTGCTTGTGCGAGGGGCCGGCTTTTTGGGCCAGCAGGTGTGCGCGCCCCGCCTGGGGTTCGTTCGATCGCGATGGGCAGCGTCTGCGTCGTGGGCCGTCGGTCTCCACCGGGTCGCATGGCTCGCTTGCCGCCGCCTAGTCCACACCGGCGCCCGTCGTGTCTGAAATTTGCCTTGGTCATTGGTCCGAGCCATCTTTGGGATGTTTCTTGCCGAGGTCGTTGCCGCTGGCCTTTTCGAATTGTAGAGCACTTTCTAATTAGCGTGCAAGGTAAATTTGTAAATTTAAAATAAAATTGTGTAGGTGTCCAAAAATGATGAAACCAATTTTAGTATATATCTTACCCAGGCAAGCTTCGGTGCATAACCTCTACTTTTCTGCACTTTAAATTATATTTGTGCATTAAGTTTTAAGGAGTTGAATGAAACCGACTTGCATATATACACATATATCTTTATTCTATGAGTCTTATTAGTATGACAGGATCGTGTAGATTGCTATGCTACAGAACTC